CTAATCTGAAACATTCGAAGTCCATTTCAATTTAGTAAATGTCGAAACAGCCGTTTAAAGACAACAAACATCGCAACGACCGATCCAATCACAATGGCATCAGGACTTCGAACTTCTTCGGAAAGATTGATCTCGACTTCGGAGCCTACCAATTACGACCAATTACGAAGGGTCCACGCCAATTTGCATATCTCAAAGTGCCCACAACAACTCGTTGCTACGCTATCGCGTATCCACGAGTTAAAAATCAACATATCTTCTTATAATAACATTACAATTAGGAGAATATTAGTTGATCCAATACCAAATTCTCTAAACTATTGCAATAAGAATTGTATGGAAGACAGTAAGGAGAATTATTATTGAGATCTTGGGGTGAAAGCATCAACTCATTCATGTTTATTCAACCACGCCCACTAATGACTGCTAAATAGTGTCACAGATGACAAATATGGAGAAAAAAACTTCTCACCATCCAACTTTTTCAGCTTTGACAATCTCTTAGTAGCAAGGTCCCTCCAATCCCCATCATTGGAATGTTTCTCTTCCAGAGGATTACCTATGATGAACGAACAAATCTACATGTAGGAAGTTATTGATAAAATTCTTATAATATTTTCAAGAATTTAGGAATTTGCACACAGTAACTAGTATTCAAAGAATAAACCCTTACCAACAAACAACAAATCTTCTAACAGTGGAAGATCAACCTAAAAAAAAAAAGAAAAGATGTTCATGCCATTTGAAATCTATTATCCCTTTCACTCAAAGATCCAGAAATTAATTGTCACAAAAGCAATTACAAGTAGCTGCAAAACCACAGATACAGTCCTTAGAATTGAAATGTTACAGGGTATATCAAGAGAATATCTTATCGCTAGATTACATGATTGTAAATATCACATGGCTTTATTTTGGTTACAGGACTAACGGCCATTATTTGTCATCAAATATTTTTGCTTGCAATCAACATTTACTAGCTTGTGCTAACATTCCCCAGCTAAAGCTGAGGCATATCCAAGTATACACTCAAGTGATATTCCACAACTTTCATATGTTATGTTGACTATGGTAAGTCTTTTTTTATAATTTCATTTACGATGAGAAGCTTTTCATGGTTGTTGCAGAAGAAGAGAAGTTTTTATGGTTGTTACAGAAGAGGGGAAGTTCTTGTTTGTTCAAAAAATTACACCAGAGAACACTAACAAGAAAACACCCACTGCAGCAAACAGTAAGTTATTGGTAAACAATGTTTCTATTTGAAAGATAATAAACACAACACCCTCTATTTTGCAGAAAAATATAATCGCACATTTGTCATTGGTTGTCATCTGTGCCTCAATTTTCTTTAGCTTTGCTCTTTGAAAACTTTTGCATCTTGGAACAGATAATATCCATAGACAAATATGCATGGGCATTTCTTACACCAAATAGAGGCTATTGTTTATATAACAAATTAAGGGAAAATTTACTGACTGATCTTTCCAAAGAGTCACAAGGCTATTTACTTATAATAAAAAAACAGAAAGTAAAAGCAAGCAAATCACAGAATGGAGGAAAATCTCTTCCAATTCAACAAATGAAATAAAATAAGACAAAAAGAACTGAAATTGTGTAAAATGAACAAGTCTGTTTAGTAGAAGGTAAAGTTAAAGAATAATTTCATTGTTTTATATATCTCTTACTGAAGAACATTCACAATTTTTTTCATAGATGTTTGCATAACAGCTGGTCAAAAGCAACAGCTGTTGTAAGGAGAATTATTAATAAGATCTTGGGAGAGGAAAAATTCTGTAAAAATTCTGAAAGCTTACCAGTTTCTGAAATTCATCCCATGTCTTAACTTGGTTGTTTGACATGTACAGAACCTTGACCATAGAAAAAAGACAAATAAAGCTCCACATAAATATCAAAAATAGGCAATCTGATACTGTATGTGGCTACTGATAAAGCACAATCTTTATAGCATTGAAATGAAATAGAGGTTGTATAATAATGCAAGGTAATGTTGCTGCATCCCACATATTTTTAAGTGCCCTGTTCCACAAGAGAAAGATGATTCAAGATTATAGTGACTGACACTCAACCAATATTATTCCTGAACATATGTAATTATATGGTAAAATATATTCATATAATAATGATAATGATAGTAATAATAATAATAATGATGATGATGATGATGATAAAAATGATAACAGTGGTAGTAGTAATGGGAATTTATTGGGCTAGTTCAAGAACCTCACTGTTCCTCTGTTGATCTCTGCTCCAGGCCTCAATGATGATTAAATTATGCTTCTCTTAATTCTGCTTGCTAATCATCAATTATTTTTTATACAACAAGGCATTCTGCATTATAGAACATTTGGCTATTTTCCCTTTCCACCATTCCATCTTTTGTCGGATAGAGCTCAGGTTATCATATTTTTGACCTTGCTTGCTTTGCAAATCAAGCAGCTCTTTTGGGCATTAATTGCTGATTGAAAGGATAAAATACTCTCTCTTTGAATAAATAAAATTTTTCTTCGAAGTTTCTTCCATGTGCAGATCAAACCTATTAAGATATTTCTGTAAGGAAAAGTCTTCTTTTCAGTTACATGTCAGAGACACCCCTGAGAAATTATTTTGAGATGTTTAACATTTTTTGTAGTGTCATGGCATGAACTGAAAACACTACGTATTAAAGCAAATTAGCAAATATGCAAAGTATCTACTTAGCATAATTTGCTGATTCAAATGATAAAATGCTCTCTCTACAAAGAAAAATTTTTCCTCTAAGTTTTCATGATGCACCGATCACAACATTTACAACATTCTTGTAGGGAAAAGCTTTGTTTTTTCACGTGCCATCCTGAAATTATTGTGAAATGTTTATTGGTCTTTTGCAGAACTAAAACAAACAATAAGTAGCAATGAGAATGAGATCTGAATTCTATTTTTGCCATCATACACTCACTCACTCACTGATCCTGACAACACATGTGGCCTCATATTGGAGGCAAAAACAGTGGATTAACAGCTGATCCCTGAACAAGAAGACTTTCCATCCTCCACTTTCCTTCAGTGCATTTGCTTTAAAAAGATTACTGGCTATTTAGGGTAAGGTGCAAAATCTTCAGTTACTGTAAAATCACAGTCATGATAATTGGGAAGTTCTACCGGGTCTGAATATGCTAAACTTTCTTCAAAAGCAGGCAACTTAATTTCCATTAAGCTTGTGACTAAATCTCAACATTGTGGTACGCATACATGCACATGTAACTTAATTATCTAAATATAAATACCACAGCAAGAGAGCATGATGAAACAAATCCTGCATTCTGATTGGGTATTTGAGCCTTACTCCCCTACTTAGTTCTTCCAGGAAGTTACTTTATTTTAGCATAATAATGACAAGTCTGTTATGAACCAAGTTTAAGATCAAGATGGCTGAATTTCAGCCACATTTATGGCCCTCATTAATTCATCTCAAGCCAAGAAAATACCATCTTGACCTCAGTCTTGGTTAATCATGCAGAAACACAAGTAAGTTAGTGTAAATGATATCATTACCTTCAGTTTTTTAAGTACACCAATGCCCTTTAACTTCTCAATGTTATTGTAGGATATCCAGAGTTCTTCAAGAGTCTCTGCTACAGCTTCCTGTGAAAACAATAACCACAAATAACTACAGTTGTAGAACTCAGCTAACTTGAACTTTGTTAACTCATACTCCCCACTAACTTGGAGTTTGAGTTAGAGTACAACTGTACATGTACTGTAGCAAGCCCTAGGATTTCAAACCCCAAAGAGTACATCTCTTACACCTGGGAACTCATGGAAAATCACAAGAAAACAATAGTAAAATGGTTTCTTTCAATTTGCTCAATGTTTCAAGGATTTGCCATACATGATGGTCATCATTGTGCCATTCTCCTCAATACTCCACTAAGCCATCATGATAAAAAGAAAACATAACTGCAATGGATTACTTTTCCTGAGAAATCTTGATCCATCATCATTGACACCAGGAGGTCCCATTGTCTTATTGGTTTGAGGTTTCAGGAGGTGAGATAGTCTCCTGGCATGGCACAAGCTTCATGAGCTCAAATCTTGCATTTGATTTTGGGAGGAATACAACTACTTTGAGCGAATTAACAGAGTATATAGATTTGAGAGATTTTTGTAAAAGTTTGCCAAAATATCCTAGGAATTAGGACACATGAAAGTGTGTTGGGAAATTTTGATATTTGAAATATTTGTCCCACAGGGTCCATTTGCGCAACATGACTTGCATATTTTTAGCTACTCCAACTTTAGATGGCGATATCTACACAACCAATCAGACCATCAAAAAAGCCTGACACACTTTTGTTGATTGATGCCTTTTGAATGAGACTGTGCATCCATTTTGCTTATGCTGCAGCATCTGATACCCAATAAATCCAATTAAGAATCTTTGGTCATTTCACGTCTTACCAGCTCCTGACACTTCCTTAAAGGAAAAGTTGCTTAAATTATATTTTTATTGTAAACTGCATTTTTCAAGCTTTCTTCTGATATATAGTTTGCTAGGATTTTAGTGAATCTGGCACATGTACAAATTTCTTCCAGAAAGACACCAGCCAAAGTGGGAAGTAAGCTTAAGCTGCTTATGGGTTAGATGAGTAAGAAAGGCAAAGTCAGATGAAAAAGCACAAATAAAGACAAGGAAACTCACACATCATAAAATACTTGACAAAGTTTATAGAGGAAAAACATAACAAGTACTACTCAATCGGCCCAAAAGGGTGTTGCTTCAGTTCACTTACCAAGCCATTAAGATTTTTTATGTTATTTCTTCCCAGTGACAGAATTTTCAGATTCCCTATAAATAAATAAATGAGGTAAACCGATATTTGATTATTTCATAATTAGTTTAAGAGGAAACATCTAGCTTGCAGTCATCAACAAAAATTCAGCTACTATGCCTTGGTGCAACCTCTCATATCTTTTATACAAACCCACACAAACCTAAAAGTTATTCAGCTTTGGCACTGTAAAGCAGAGCTGGTAAATCTCTTAACTTTTCTCAATGTTACATAAAACATGTATAATCATTCAATTATAAACCAGACAAACAGCCTGTCTTTTGACATAAAAGTGCATTTTTGGCACATACATGTTAAAGACAAAGCTTTGCACACAGAGGAAAGGACACAAAAAATTCCACCTAGAAAAATAATCAAGGGTATCTGCAGTCCAAGATCAGATCATTCCATGAAAAAGTTAGGGTAATTTGCTCCTTATTAGAGTCAGTTTGTCTAAAATTTACCTAATCTTTATTAGTAAGATAGATGAATAGAGAGAAAAAAATTGACTAAAACAATTGAGTGTTTCTCAAGGTTAATTAATCAGTGTTGATATCAACACTACAGCAATCCTAACATTCAAAATAAGTTGAGTTCATTTGGTGTCTAGTCATTTTCATCCATGACTTAATAAGTTCAGAGTATTCACTGTATTTCTGAAGGTTTTCAAAATACAGTGTCTAGAAAGCTCCCTCAGAATATTGTATAGTTTGTATGACCACAGAACAAAGTGAACAAATACCACAAACAGATGAAAGAAGGTTAGATCTGAGCTTGGCCAACATATCCCTTGATATTTCCAATTACCAAGCATGAACATATGATAAATAGTATATAACATGAAACTTTTCTTGGAAGTTACAAGAGATTTTTTTTCGTACATAGTTTTCAAATTTTTTCCTGAGTCCTATCAGACACTCTGCTGCAGAATAACTCTTTCATTTCTCAATATATGGCCAATATCAAAGAACTGTAATTACTTAAATGTATAAAAGCTGCATCAAAATACAACAATTTAACATTTAAAACAATGATCAACATGAACATTATGGGATAGGAAAGCAAAACATTTGCCTATAAACTTACGTAAACCATTAAGGTTGGCAATTTTTTCAATGCAGTTTGTGGATAAGGACAGTTTCCTGTGAGGTGATCAAATGTTCACTGTGATTAGAATTGGAGTTGATGTATTATTTGCATATGACAGTGACAGCTTACATATACTAAAGTAATTGCGAACCAGTAGTTAAAAATTAAATTAAAAGCCTTCAGCTAATGATGGAATAAGATAATGTTTCTACATTTGTGTGTAACACTTAAATACACATAGCTATTTTAAGTGAAATGATTGCGCTGAAAATCAAACCTGTACAAGAGCACCAAAAGCTGAGCAAATTAGGACCAAGCAAAGGGCATACTGCATGGTCTCAAATTACCAACACAATAGGCAATGTACATGTACATGTAATTTAAAGTGAATCGTCCTTTGCCCAAGCACAGTCAAACCTGCATTGAGCAGCACTGTATTAAGTGGTCACCATTTATTAAGCAGTCTGTTGTCAAAGACCCAATATTGTTACCCCTTAATTTTGTAACTGTAATTTTCACATCAGTCTATAACAAGCAGTCACCTCTATTGAGGTGTTGTGGCCACCTTTTACTGAGTCCCAACACCTTTTGGAATTGTCCTCTACCTGTACTGGATGGTTACTCAATGTGAAACCACACATATAAAACTAATCTTTCAAGTAAAACTTAATCCATTTTTTATCTTCCAAGAGAGTTTTTGTACATAGCAAAAACTGGCTATTTTTTTTTTATGTTTTCAAAAATACCCCTATTCTGTGGTCACTCTGCTATTCCTTGTGGGTGACTGCTTAACATAGGCTTGAATGTTATCCTATGTTACCATAATTTCCAGCCGTTTACCTGCACGGGTGATTACACACACCGGCCGATTATTGCATACGACAAAAAAAAAAGTCAACAGATCACCTGCACTGATGGATAACCCACACGTTATGTTATTAAACTTTTTGGTGGCGAAAACTTGACATTAAAGTGATACATTTCAGTCTTTTAAAAGTTGTCTGATCTAACTTTCGAAAACTTGAAAGCTTCTTTGTCGAGTTTAAAGGTCAAAGAAATTCAGACAAGTGCACAATTCTGTGTCAATATTAGCATGTACTTTATTGATGAAATTATACAGTAAAAACACTAGCGGCCCATGCGCAAATCTCAATGTTTCATACTTGACAGAATGCAAATTTGTGGCCACATTTTGTGCGAGCGATCGTTCAGCGCCATGTTGATTTGTTGAAAGAACCTGGGTGAGTGTTAAAACTTGAATAATAAAGCACTGTCTGCGATTTCTGAAAAAAATAGATGTCTCCAGTTCTATTGGGCCTAACAAGTCCCTTAAAACGGGAAAATTCTCTTCAGCTCAAGCTAGTGTTAAATGGAGATTTGTTATTGATGCGCAAGATATCTTTGGATTATTTTTTTCACCATCAAGGTTTTGTTTTCACGCGTGCCGATAACAATTTGTTCGTCACGCAACCAATTTTGCATGAAATTAACTTGAGTCAGCATCATGTTTTTGTGCTGCTTTGTGACACTCTTACTACAATAAAATTCATTTGAGAGGTGGAAATGCATGTAGGTGAGAATTTTTTTCAATTCAACTACCAGTAGATTTTAAAATTGTCACATAACCCGCATCGCCCTATTACCCGCAGTGGCATGCGTTTAATGCAAAATCAACAGATTACCCATGGGTAAACAACTGGAAATTACGGTAGTTCCTTTGTCTGATAAATTTAATAAATAGAGAAGGCTTAACTGTTCTCTGTTCTGTTCTAAAGTAGTCAAATGTTTCTTTCCATTTCTTGAGTGCTCTAGCTGCTTCCTGCATGCTTTACAACAGAACAGAGCACAGTCAAGGCTTCTTTATTTGTTTTATGGTAAAGAATCCTTTAAATTCTCCCTGTATCACTTTCAATTTTCAAAACAAACTTTCTTTTCAAAGTGAACAACAGTGTCATCAGCATGCTCCATACTCTAACAAAGCATGCTACAATAAGCCAATCTGAAGCCTTGTTAGAATGGTTCAAATAATGTGATTGGTTATTCATTAGTATGAATTTTAAGAGTTGTGCCAGTTTGGATATATTTTTCATCATTCCTATTTTGATCTGTATTGTTTTTGAACACGAAACTATATATACTATGCAAGTGTTAGCTGTGTTTGATTTTAATTACTGTACTAAGCTTCCAGTCTAACTGAGTGTGAAAACCTCCAAAACTTGAACTGTCTATTTTGTTTTCTCTTTGAGGATTTTCGTCTCTGCTCACATCATAATAATGTGAATTACCGCCCTTTGCATGTTTACAAAACTTTGTTTGCTTCTTCTGTTGCTACTTACTGGATCACTTGTTCCAAAATTTCACTTTCAATAAACAAAAAAAACTAGAGAGAGGTCCCAGAAAAGGTTGGACATAGTACAATTTGGAAGATGGCCTGACAGCTTTAGCTCAGCTCTATGCTTTTCACTCTGATAGAGCACACTCTTTCAACCAATGACAGCATATGTTGCATCCAAACTTTCTTATAAAACTTAATAAATCTTCCATATGAAGTTTAAAACTAATTTTAGAATACAAGCATACTTACACACAGTTTGTAAGAGTAGATAAGGAAGCATCCATCTTTTCTATTGGAGGATACTGTGCATATAGCTTGACTTCATCTGATTCTGATGCTTTTTTCTCATGTTTCTGTTCCTGTTTATCACAAATGCAGTACAAAATTAAATGCTTGGGTAACTGAGTTTATGCCAAACTACCATTGAGACTTCACATCTACTTTCCAAACATATTTTTGATTTGAAATGACTATAATAACTTAAAAGTTATTTAAACTGATACTATCATTGCTTTAAGCTTACTCAATTTTCTTTAGGAAATACTTGGGCAACGAACAGAACTTTCTACCCAGCCAGAGTACCATGGCACTAACTTGCTGTGCTATGAACTTGAAATACCGGTACTCAAAAAAAAAATCCCTGTAACTGTGATAAGAACTTTTCATTTTTATGTATTAAGAGAACTGTATATGGTCGTGAGTGGAATCGTTCTCCAGCACGTACTAAGTACTAAGCACTAACACGTACCATAAAAGACGTAAATTGCAAGTGCAAAGTAAACTTACTGTAAGTGAAATTCAGATTTCAATCTTGTCACTAATACCAACCCTAACAACTAAACACAACAATAAACTATGCTGTTTTCAAAACTAAATACCCAAAGTATGTATGAAGAAAACAGCTCTAACACTTCTGCAAATCCTTCTATTTCACGTTCACCATCGGTGTTTAGGGTGTATTACTATTGATATCTAATTAACTAATACAACAGCTTACCCATTTTGCCAAGGCATCCTTGATTGTTGTTCCCTTCGACTAAGACAAAACAGAGACGAATCTTTTATAGACTACTTTTCAAACAGAAGTTTTTTTTATCAAGACAGTACGTACCATTTCTAATAAGGTTTCAGGAAATAAATATCAATGTGTCTGTGTTCTCTTTCCTTACTCGCAGAAACTCAACATGGCGGATCTCTATGGGAACAGAGAAACCGCCCAAAAAGCATGACGGGGTGAAGAGAGTAAGACCGACCAATCAGAGGAAAAGAATGAACAAATGGCGGACGACATTAGTGGAAAGGGTTCTTAATGTTAAAAAGGAAAAACTTAGAGCTCTCGGGAAGGAATCTCAGCAATTCTCGTACGGATAAAATTGGAGACTCTGTTGTCGATATTAAACGGAACATTTTCCACATTCATCATCAAGAACAAGCAGCTCTTGCTGGGCGATTCCAGTGAAGATAACGATATCCCTTACAATGTTTCCTGGAAGACATCTATCAGTTTCAACGTCCTTGATCTTCTTGAGGAGTGTTTGATGATCATTGCGCATAGCAACATTAGATTCCACGAAATATGTAAAGTTGCAAGAGTTTAGCCTTTGAAAACTTATTTCGTCCTTATTTATCCCAAATTGCACTCGAAATCATGTAATTACCTGAACTAATTACACTCGAAATAATGTGATTCCGTAAACAGATACCACTCGTAACATGTCATTACCTATACTAAAAATAATCATAATAACTTTATTGTTTTTTTAGAGGGCACGGTAACGAATCTTGCAATCTGATTGGTTCTTTACCCGGTCAGTATTTTCCTATCTCTGCCCACGGGCCACGGTAACGCTTTCGTGAGTCGCCGAGTACATCCCAACTTTCGTTGTCATTTTTCATAAATATACCTCGTTTTCCGGCTGGGCAGTATTTTTAAGCAAACACGTCGGTCACTACCTCAAGCTGATAAATAACTTATGAATCCTCTCTTTTCTCTATATCAAATCACTTTGGTTGACAGAAAAATATTGGTTTCAGAATGAATTTGTATAAACAATAGTGTCATCACGGTGGTTGACAAGCGGCCTAAAAACCGTCTGCAATTAATTTTAATCGTTCACAAAAAGTACCCAGAAAGTTGAAACGTGAGGTATTTGGTTACAGTTAAACTAAACGATGGAACTTTCATTCATTTAATATCCGAATTTTCTCGAGGGAAAACTAGCTGCTGCAAGAATAAGGTGTGACTTGCGTGTCCCACTGTTTGAAGTGAATATCTTGCAGCCCCCATCTCAAAGTTATTGTTTGTCTCTCGTTGTTCGTGTCGCCGCTCTTTAAGATTTAGTCAGACTAAAGGATGAAAAAACGAAACAAAAATGAATGCAAAGTGTCCACCTTTAGAATAATGACGTCAACTGATAAAATTGGTATCGGTACTTTGCATAATGTTTCCCCTTATGAATATAAATTTTATCTGTGTTGGTTGCAAGTACAACTGAGGTGAAATTTACTTTTTTTTGTTTGAAAGGTAAGAGACCATAAGAATATATCAAGAACACTGGCAAAATTATCTCTATATTTTACTAATAGATAGGAGCAAGGTAAATCTAAAAAAATTTAAACTTAAAAATCTCCGAGGAGGTTGTAAAATACTTTAATGCTAAATGATTTTTCGAATTAAGATGTTTGCTAACTGAAGACATCCATGCTGCATTTTGGCATCAACATTGTAATATTTCAATCGGTATCAGATGAATGAAGAGCATCTCTTTTTGAAGCAATATTTTTTCTTTTGGATTTTAAACGTAAATTAATCAACTGATTCACGATTAAAACCTTTTATCATCTTTAACAGAGGTATGGCCTTCCATTGTTTGAGATTTCAATTATAAGATTCTTGTCCAAATGTACATCATAATGGGAAATCGCTGTAGAGCGGTCAGCATTTGAAATGGCTTCGTAGAAACAACATAAAGAAAACTTATTGTCACCAAAGCTCTGCTAAGTACGCATACTAAGAAATTAGACCCTTTTCATTTCTCAGGCAATAATGTTTCATAAGCTAACCATAACCTTTAACATAGCCGCGTTTAACATAATCGTTGCGTTGTCTTATTGCACATTCTTGGAGAGGACATGCCCACCATATCCCAAACTGATTGACAAAGTGTATTCATGAAAGACGACTTCCACTATCTGAATGTGTCTCTCGTTGGGAAATCCACGGTGTATGACGCCATGGACTGCGCCTTTGAATGTCTCAGCAGTCCTTTGTGTTTTTCCTTTAACTTGGCCACCTTCAGAAGAGCTAAAGGAAAATTTTTGTGCAAGGTACTTTCCACTGATAAATACAGAACCGCCACACAATATGGTGGAAATATGAGTTCGCATCGCTTCTCCACTGCGGTAGGTATCCTTAAGTGTCTTGATCATAGCTCCTTTCTCGAAATGCTTCTCTCAAGCGTGATTTCCTCGTCCTGTCTGAGCATATACTATACACTTCAATGAATGATGCACAGAAAGTTGCTCAAAGATGCGTCCTTTGTTGTTGATAGAAACACAACTATGCTGATGAGTTCGTGACTAACAACTTTACTTTACACATCTATATCGATTTATTAGTTATTCATTTATTTATTTTTGCAGTCTCCTTGTTCTTCCTCACCATGTCAAAACCAAGCTCTGTGTGTGACGAATTACAAATATGGTACCTTTAAATGTCTCTGTGGAGAAGGCTTCACAGGAGAGTTCTGGGAAAATGGTAGATGGCAGACACAACTGTTGTTTAATTATTATTATTCTTAATTTTAGTACCAGTTGGATAATGATTAACGATCAAAGTTAAAGTGTCTTTAGGCAGGTACCTCTGTTGAATTTTTATCGTTCTTCCTAAAAATAATCATCAGTGATGATTTTCTGTTTCTGCATTTAGATCATAGAAAGACATGCAAAATACCACAAAACGAAGGCAAGTAATTAGAATGTTTAGGAGTACTTTATTGAAATTGAGCATATGACAAGAAATACACAAAATTTACTCAGAATTTGCATTCTATTTAAAATACATTGACCGCCATATATTTGCCACTTCAAGACAACAGGACTTATTTGAACATCAATAACCCGTGGAAAATTTGCGATAGAATAGAAGACACATACGTAGTGAGATCGCACCATTTTGGAATAGTAGATTACGCAATGTCATTACTGATAGCCTTACTCTCAACCCCTCCACTATTCTACTATGTCCCACTTTGTTTTTGTCATCGCTAGACTTCGTAATTCATTTGATTAAGACAATGTTTTTTTTTTTTGTTTTTTTTTTTACTACAAAATAATTTCGTTACTTGAAAACCAAATGGTCTTTTTGATTACTCATTCTACAAATCAAAACGTTACTCGACTGGTAAAGTTGATCTTGGACTCAAAACCAATTTTCATTCTTTATCACTGAGGAAGTCATGAAGATGGACGGTAGCAAGGTACATGTTGACAATTTGCAAATCCTGTATCCTTGATTAATTTGAGCCCAATAAGTTAAGAATCGAAAATCCGATACGGATCCACATTGTATTTTTCCATTTTCATAGGTTTCCACCCAGAATCAGTAGAATTGCAACAACTACAACAAGGTTGCACTGTAACCAATGCGGAGAGAAAAAAACTCTTCAACTCAAGCCGGTGGTTGTACCATCATGGTACAATCACGCTGTTGAAACATACCATTTTCACACCAAACTTCGAAAATTTACAGTGAAGCACTGTGTTTCTCGTTGTGATGGTTTGAAGGAGAATTCAAGAGCATTTTGATATCTCCCTTCGTTTTAATCACCGAGCTTAAAATTTACCATCTTCATTCACACCATCTTAAATAAGTTCATTGATAACATCTTGTTGACATTCCAATGGTTGTAGTACGCTAAGTTTGTCACTATCGGACCTAGTCAAACCACTTAAGTCACCACTAGCCTCCATAGCTCAGTGGTAGAGCATCCGAAGTTTTAATCGGAAGGTTGTGAGAGCATTCGGAGGTTTTTTTATCCGAGTATGCCTGTGTCATTCTCTGAATAACACACTCGTTCACCTGAATCACCACGCTTAAAAATTACAATTCTCATTTACATCATTGCAGATAAGCATTACATGTTAACATTCCTATCCTCGCAATATGCTGGAAGATTGTCACCATGGACCTGGCTAAATGGCCCAGCTTAGCAATAATCACCAATGGTGGTAGAGCAGCCGAAACACTAGTCAGGTTGTAAGTTCGAGTCTCGCTGGAAACTCTCAGAAAGGTTTGCCCCAAATTCTACCTTCCCCATTTACATCATCATTGCACATGAGCATCACGTATCGACATTCCTACCATCGCAGTATGCAGGCATTTTGTCATCATGAACCCAGGTAAACGGCCGAGCTTGCCACGAGTTTACTATGGTTCAGTGGTAGTGTCCGTAGTACTAATCGGAATGTCGAAGGTTCCAGTATTGGCAGCACTCCGAGTTTTTTCCCTCGGAGTATCCCTATGTCAAAGTATGGTGAAAAATGACAAATGACGACAGCACCACAAACAGAAAGTAATCGCGGGGAGCTTCCTTAAGCAAAGAAACGGATATTCAACACGATAGTAAAAACAGGAAAAAAACCATAACCTCTCCATCTTGTCGATCTTCCCCAAAAGAACAACTGCAAAGTACGATAAATTACGTGTAATGCGTGACAACACGCAATGTTCCCACGGATATTGTGATAGAACTGACATCCAAACAAAAGACACTCGTCTCAGCATACACAACAAAAAAGCTTGCCTTCCAATCACGGTAGTGGTTGTTTTGTGCTTGTGCAGAGGAACGGTACGGGCGGCAAAGCCTAAAGCCTGAATCTAATTGGTGCGAGCAACATACCACTTCAACAACCAAGACTTTACTTTAATATTTATGTTTGTTTTCAAAACTAACTCAACAACAACTCAAAAATAAATCCTTAGAGTCAGGGAATAATAACCACCTAAACATTATCCGCGTGGGTGACCCTCCACTTTCAAGCAATTGCCGAGAACGTTTGAAACAGCCCTCTATATGCGATTCTCTAAATTACAAGCAAAATTGTATCATAACAGAAGCTGCTCATAGCCTTTCCAAAATTATGTTTCTTTAGTAATGCCTGAAGAAATTGGGTTCCTTTCCGGCCACGTGGCTGGAA